ACATTTGGAAAATCCACATAAATCAGTGAATTGATATTTGAATTTTCTGTGCTCTTTCTATGGTAATAGAAGAGTGAATCCAGACTGAGGGAAATGCGTGGAATCATATTAACTAATCAACTACACAGATTTTTACTGAATCCTGATCAGGTGCCAGACACAATGCTAAATGCTGGGGTTAAGAAGCAAAGGTGAGCAAAACAGATTTAATCCCTGCCGTTATGGAGCATAGAATCTGCCAAGGGAGAAATTTACAAGTATATGAAGTGATTTTAAATTGTTAGAAGCATCATAAAGAAAAAACATTAGGTGCTAAACGGAGAATCTAGGGGAGGGTCTGTTTTAGAGAGGGTGCCCTTTGTGAGATCTGCTCTCCTTTTCAAGCCTCTTTAGTGGCACCTCACAACCCCTCCCTTTGGGCGAGGTGCGTTGGTAGGGGCTATGCCCCCACTTAAAGTTGCTGCTTCCAGTTTCAGTCTGAGAGACAGGCAAGTCTTTTTTAAAAACTGAGGTATAATTCATATACCATGAAAGTCACCCTTGTAAAGTATGCAATTCAGTGGTTTTAGTATGTTCACAAGGTTGCACACCCTTCACCACTATCTAGTTCCTGAAGATTTTCGTCACTTCAAAAAAGAAATGTCAGACCCAATACAGCCACTGCCTGTTCCCCTTCCTCCCTCTACCCCTTGGCAACCATGTTTTTACTTTCTGTCTATAGGTTTGCCTATTCTGGATATTGCCTATAAATAGATCAGACTTTTATAGAAATAGAATCGCCTTTTTTGTCTGGCTTAGCATAATGTTCCAAGGTTCATCTGTGTTCAGCCATGTTCATACAGGCTATCCATGACAGCTTTTATCAGTACTTCATTTCTTTTTATGACTGAATAATATTCTGTTGTATGGACATACCATATTTTGATTATACATTCATCAGTTGATAGACATTTGGGTTATTTATACTTTTTGGCTATTATGAATAACACTGCTGTAAATATTCATGTTCAAGTTTTTGTGAGGACATATGTTTTCCTTTCTTTTGCGTGTAACTAGGAGAGCAATTGCTGGGTAATATGTTTACACTATATCTAAACCTTTAAGGAACTGCCAAACTTTTCCATAGTGTCTGTGCCACTTGACATTCCCATGAGTATTTTATGAGGGGTCCAGTTTCTCCACAGCCTCACCAACACTTGCTTTTGTCTGTTTTTTTTTTTTTTTATGAGAGCCCTCCTATGGGGTGTATACTAGGAGGATAGACAACTTTTAACTTCAAATTCTGGCACTACCTCCTTTTTGACCCTTTTATGTTACAGAAGTGAGACCTAGTTTACATATGTGAAAATGGAGGCATAGTATAATTCCTTGCTCAAGGTGTTAACTTTCTGGTGATGGAGCTGGTGCCTGACTTGCAGACCAGGGATCTTTTCACCAGGCTGTTGTGATGTCTGTGGCGTTCCAGTCAGAATCCAGCATTTGTACTGTCTGTCTCAATACAGAGCAGATCACAGGAGGAAGACTTACAGGGCTTACTGTGATGCATTCTGGGACCATGAAATAGTATTTATCTTTCTCCCTATCATGTTCTTACACAGTAGACAACCTTGTTACATATTCTTTAGAGCCTGAAGTAGATGCTTTTTTATTTGTGGATTTCTTCTTGTCTTCTACTAGATTGCCAGCACTTTAAAGGCAGTGTTTGTAGTTCAGTATTACAGTGCTGGACAGAATGCCTGGTGTACGGTGGTTCCTCAAGAAGTGTTTGAGGAATTAAAATGTATACATCAGTCAGGATTATTAGAGAATGAGTTTATTACATTCAGCTCTTTGGAGAAACAGTATAACAAAAAGAAGAGAGGTAAGTGGTAGGTGGTAAAAAAAGTCACTTTATTATGCATCACAGTGTATAAAGAATAGCACAGAATTAAGCTTCATGCTTACAGGTATAAACTGACTAGCTAAGGTGAAATACATATCAAGTTACTGGCTGAACTCAAGCTTATTGGTATATGAAACTAGTCTACTTGTAATTAATAAATTATACAATGCCTTGAACTATTCCTAACTTTAAATTCCAAAATTTCTAAATAACTGCAATACATGCTGAATCCTCCTCATTGTCTTTATAATTAAAAATGTTTGTAAAAATGAACATAAAAAGAAGTACATAGTAAGACGTGAAAATCCTCCTTGATCTCTCTCCTTAAGTCCCACATTGAACAGAATATTTAGCTCTAAATTCTGAAGGCCACAGATATATTGTGGAATTTCACATTGTGGAGAATGAAGCATATTCTTACTTTTCCTAGGATTGACTTTCTTTTAAGAACAAATATAAAATTGACAGCCCTCGACTTCTGAATAGTCACTGAACTGGACATTTTTCTCAAGGGCCATCTCCTACTGTGGATAGAGAATGTGTGAGCATCTAGTTTTTGCTCATCATGTAAGAGTGAAAGCAGGAAGTGGTTTCTATCATTGCTGAGCGTATTTCAGATAGGCTCTTATTTGTACACACGGCTGAGAGGGTTCTGAGGTGCTTCCTTGGACAGATCAAGTTAAAACCTCCTTGACATCAGCAGGTGATTATGAAGAAGGAATGTCATATGGCTCCTGCAATGGTTTTCTTTATCCAGTTGAGATGTTTTTTTGAAAGGAGAATGTAGATGCCAGGCTTCTGAGGGTTACCACACTTCCCAAAGGAAGTGACACCTCTGAAAATGTTATCACATATCAGAGGACTTCCAGAATCCCCCTGGAATAGAAAGTCATTTATTTTCAGTATTGATACTTTCCACAGATACCTATTCATCATTTTATTCATTCACTTATGCACTCACACATTCTTTCTCTTTCCTTATTTCAGGCTAATTTAATACCTCTTTTATTAATCGTCTGCTCTCAGCATCAATTACCAGAGATTTGTTTACTTTTCCAATCATTTTCCTTTTGGTAAAAGCAATTCTTGAGGAGATATGAAAACTCATTTCATCAGTAAAACAAAGAAAAATAACAAAAGAAGCCTTTAACGGTGAAAAATAATTATCTTCGTTCGTCTATTTGGTTCTATTTTCTGGTCAATAGATGTTGGGGGTAACAACTTTGAAGGCTTGACATGGGAGTTCAACTACTTCCTGTCTGAAGGAGGACACTAGCTAAGCTGTCTCAGACCAAGGAGTACTTGTGATATTGCAAACAGTTTTTAAGGTTTTTTCCCCTTTATTCATCAGTCCCCATTTCATGTTCTCTCTGAACTTGAAAACCATTTATGGATCATGAGTTTCAAATGGGGTAAAATCCTGACCAGACTGGTTTGTGGCACACTAAGAGGCAGAACAATGCAAGAATTGAGGGTCATCGGGTGGCCTCGGTCCGAATCCAGGTCCACCCCACTGATAGCCAATGTATCCTACTTGGGAAAGTTATGTAACTTTCTACACCTTGATATCCTCATCTGTAAAATAGAGTTGATAGTAACAGTTCCTATCTCATGGGGTTCTTTGGGGATTAAGTGGCATTGAGTATAGAACTTGGTACAGTTCCTGGCACCTGATAATCAGCTGTCATGATCTCTTTTGAAAGGACTTGTTAATGTGTGAGTGGCAGTTAAACAGTATCCTGAAAACGATCCTTAGTAAGAAGGGGACCCTCCTGAGCAGAAGGGTTCACCTGGGACAAAGGAGTGCCCGCCACAGCAGGGCACAGTGGTAGTTCTTGCAGACTTTGTACATAAAAAGCATTAACAGTTGTCTACCCTCTTCTTCCCAGACACTCAATTTCACTTTCTTTTCTATAGCCAACAAACGGTTTAAGTTTGTAGTTTACTTACTTCACATGAATCATCTTCACCTTCTCTACCACCAGCACAGATCATACTATTTCCAATCACTGGCTTAAAATCATAATGCTCTGCATCGTTGCATGTTTTCCTGTCTATTACAGTGACATTGACTTCTCTTAAGGCATTTGAAATTCTGCATGAGTCTTTTGTGGTGCTTCCCCATCCTGCCACGTGACACTTGGTGTGGGGTTTGACGTCTTCTCCTGTTTTTGGTAGATGAAGTATCCCTACAGCTTTGGTTAGAGTAGCTTTACCGTCCAGCTAGAAAGGGACAGGAGATGCAGTTTAAGGCAAGGACAGCAGTAACAAAAAGTAAGAAGGAGCTCTATTGGACTATGTTTCTTGGCATGTTCTTATGAAGACATGGCTGAAGGCATGTTCCAACCTAATTAACAGTCATGAACTGATGTTTGAAAAGTCACAGCACACCTTTTCAGACATGTTCTTTTGAGGCAGGCTAGGTAAATTTCAGTTCAGTTGACCTGTCTATGATAAAAGTGTATTGCTGGTGGCTGACAGTCCTGTGGTTGAGAAGCTGTAGTGGGGGACTCAATCACTATTTATTCAGGTGGTCTTAGGTTTGTGAACGGACTGGTTTTGGGACCAATGGAAGAAAACCAGGGCTCTTGGTGTGGCAGGGTGGGGTGGGAAAGGGGCCAGAGCCCTCATTTTCCACTTTAGTGGAAATACAGCTTCCCCATTTCTGAGCAGGTACAAAATGGCCTGAGGGCCTCACCTGCCTTTGAGTGCTTGCCCACACTCTGTCCCGTTCTTTCATTTCCAAACCCTCTTCTTGCTCTGCCCTTTCCAAAAAGTTAAGGCGAGGGGAGTAGGGAGCATGGTCAAGGTTGAGTAGACAGTAGAGGGAGGCAAGTCTAGTTCTTTGTTCTCTTTTTTTTCTCAATCAGTTTGAAACTGCAGAGGGTTCTGGCTTTCTAAAAATATGAGCAATGCAGAAGTGGCCACTGTCACATTCCTTTCACTGTGTTTACGTTGCCTTCAGCCCCCACTTCCTGACATTTGACTGTCCCCACTTCCTCAGTGCCCTGTCTGAGTTGCTGGTGCTCCAAAGCCCCACCTTGTTCACACTTAGATGATGAAATGGTCACAAAAGAAAGCCCTTCCATACAAATGGCCTTAAATGTCCATGTGTACCTTCTCCCTTTTCTCTCACTCATGCTTTCTCACAGCCTTCATACATGGACAAAGAGGAAGGAGAACTCCTAAAGGGACTTCCAGTCTTAATGATCTGACCAGGATGGGAGTCTGGGAAATGTATGTTTATAAGAAGCAGTCCTCTCAAGCTCCTTTGTGGACAAGCACACAGAACAGTGATGAGCACTTTGTTAGGTTTAACACTGCAAGGGTGACCCTGGTGAAGTTCCAACAACCTCTCTATGGTTTCTCTGGTGGTGTCATCCTACTGGCCACAGTGTCACAGGTGAGAGGGAGTTTCCTGGCTCCACTCTAAGAACACAGAGTGTTCTCACCTCCCCTACTCACCTCACCTCCTTGGAAAGGTAAGACGGAGTTGCCTTTGCTGTCCAGGATGCCTGATGGGAATTAACAGTGCTGGGGAGAAGGACCTGAGAGACAGGTCCAGATGAATAGTCCACAGGCAGTTGGTGTGGGGGTCATGATGTGAGTATGGGGAGGCAGGGCATATGGGGGTCTTCCAGCAGTGTTCAGAGCTCCAGAGCTCTCTTTCTACTCTTGCTGTTGGGGTTGTGTGGATCCCCTGACCTTCTCTTAACTTCTACTGGGGAAGCTGTTCATCAGCCCCCTTTGGACTGCTATGAACTTTCTCTCCACACTCAGCCTTCCAGTTCTGCCTTCTCTATTCCACTTTATGCACAGCAGCAAGATAATCATTCTAAAAACAAGTCTGATCGTGTCATTGTCAGGCTAAAAACACTGTCCTATTTCCTTTCCCATGAAGTTCAAACTACTTACCTTGGTTTGGAATGCCTGGCGCTGTGGTCCTCTCTCCTATGTTCCCTCTTTCTCAAATCTCATCATAACTCTCTTTTCTCCCCACCTTTCTCCGAATGCATTTCCAGAAAGACTTCTCTTATTCATGCTGTTCTTCCTTCCAGGAACCCTTTCCATCCCTTCTCCTGTATCCTCTCTAGGAAAGCTTCCCTGATCCCCTTCTGAGTTATCACTGACACCAATGAGTAGAATACTGTCCAATCAGAGCCATTGATTTATTTGTCTCTCCCACCAGACTGGGAGGACCTGATCACTATTTGTCTGAGGAAGAGAAGAGCAGACTGGCTCTCCGCGCAGTACTCCCCGCTGGGCCACGATCTTTCCTGTTGATCGTAAGCTCGCTCACGGATCACCAGTATCAGACCAGGTGATCCCAATAAGGCGAGCAAAGCCACGGCTGTTCTGAAGACTCGTGTGAGTGCGGGTGGAAACAGAGTCAAGGGGCCCACCGAAAGCTGACCCAGTGCCCCCTGTGGGCTGCAAGGGTCACTGCTGCTGCTTTACCAATCACAGCTCCAGCCTCTCTCCATTGTTTTCGCCTGCTACATAAGTAAGATTCATTAAGATGCTCAATCATAGAAATACACCACTTTTTGACAATCCTCAGTTTGGAGCAAACTCATACTTCCTTGAACCGCACCCACAACTGCTTGATGCAATCCCCAATCCTGTGATAAGCCCCCTGACACCCCATACTGAGCCACCCTCTGGTTCCTCTCCACACGCAGTTCACCCCTGCTGAACAAGCGTCAATAAGCCCAGCGTGGTTTGACTGTAGGTGAGTTCGCCTCTCTCTGGATTGCCTGGTCCCACCGCAGAGGACTTTTGTCAGTGTCTGTTGAGCTGAACCACATTCTAAGAGGGGGGCTGTCTCTGGAAATAGTGCTGGGTCCAAGCTGTGCTTCTTACCCCCACATCTTGGCATTAGCCTACCATAGCTGTGAAAAGCTAGTAAAAACTAGTTTTAGGTTAAACTGACCAAATTCAGAATAGTTATTGAAAAAAACCATTTACCTGAAGGAGTTGAAGATCCCCTTCCAATGTCTGTGGATCATAGCATGGATAAGATATTGCCTTTTTAATGGAAAATATTTGGTCATATTTCTCTTTGTGGGATGTAGAGTGAGCACCAAGAATAACTTGAGGTGTGCCCTTCCTGGAAAATACAAAGACAACGTATCATTTATGTGAGAGAAGGGATGAAAGTAAGTCATGAATCTAATTTATTCAAATCTGACCAGTTCTTTGAAATAGTTTCTTGTATATAAACAAGCACAGCAGGAATGTGAAGTGGAACATGTATTATTTGCTTCCACTTCACATCTCTTGAAGAAAGAAGCACCAGGAAGGGAATCCCAGGTCTTTTGGCAGAGGCAAGGCCACTGAGGTGCAGAAGGCCTGGAGAGGTATGCTCGGTGGCTCACCAAACTGGGCTGCTGCCATCGGGGAGCCACCAGCTTCTCCACCTGCCTTGGATTTGTGGAACCAACACTTGATGGAAGAACCTAACCCCAAGAACTAGAGCAGAAGTAGCAGGTGTGCTTTCTGTGCTTCAGGAAAATAGTGTACCTTGCTTAAGTCTCAAAGATGACAAAAGATGACAAGAGTCAGGCTTTTAATAGGTAGGACTGGAGATAAGAATCTTGAATTTATAGTGAAATTTTAAAGCTGACTCTACACATGCATGCACACATGTGCACATCCACACCCACAGAAGCAAACAAACAAAACAGGGCTAGCCCCAAGTCTAGTTTGTGAGCATAACAAGAGCTGGGAGAGGTGGGCACAAGCATTTCTTGATTTGCTGGGCAGACTTTGCACCAAGTGGGCCTATTAATTAAGACAGCAGCGAGCTTCATTTACAGTATACATTGTGCTGAATTTCCTACTTGATACATTCTCATTTGACACAGTATGAGGTGAGTCTGTCTGGATCTTCTCTGTGTGTAGCCAGTTTCTCAGTCTCTTCTTTTACTCATGCAATTTATACTAAAGTGTGAACAGGGAGATCACTGGTACTGGTTGCCAACAGCAGGTACTGATGCAGAAAATAGTATATCCATGTGAGACATATTATCTCGCTTTCAAATCACAAGTAGGAAAAACATTACTGTGACTCAAAGGAAATAGCTTTCTTTAAAAGTCCGTCAAATATCAGGAATTTCCTCTGTCTCAATCTAATATGCAGCAACCTGGGATCACACTATCATGGTTGGTGAATCGCTTGTAATCATAGTGGACACTGAATTTGCCTGACTAAGTATGTTTATGAGAAAGGTCTGTAACAAAATACAGCAAATATTAACATTGATTATGTGTGGTTGATTATGAGGGCTATTTTTCATGTTTCCTGTTTTTCACACTTGTAACAATATTATAATGTTAGTATACTATTATGAAAATATTAATGTGAAAAATATTTAAGAATAATATGAGAAAATAGCCATGCATTTCAATTTTATTGTATAGGATCTGGCCTTTGCTTATAGAGATACACATTATGATTGAACATAACGTAGAATGTGCTTGCCCATTTCTTCTTTATCTCTGCCTAATTTTGGTTTTGGACTTCAGAGTCATTTCCACTCTCCACACCCAAACTGCCTTGAGAAAGGGAGCTCAGAATTACTTACAGGACACAGTGTGCAGCCGTCAACACCCAGTTTTCCTTGATCAAAGCCCCTGCACACATTTCCAGTCCTTTGATTAGAGCCATGTATCTTCTTGCATGAGGTGGCATTTCATTACCTCCTATAATTCCCTCACAGGAGTCTAGGAAAACTAAAAGAGTGATCCAGAGTTAAATCCTATCTTATCTAGCCATGCTTTGCTCTAAAGGTTGGCTGTAGTGAATAGACTCAGCATGAGAATATAGACATGCAGTTTGTGTTGGGAAGAGTACATCAGAGCAGTCCATATGGAGTGGGGCTTGGTGCTTTTTTCTGCAGCATTTGCTTCTATAATTATATTCCCTGTAACACACACACACACACTTGAGAGTGTTTTCTCATGATGAATTTAGTACTCAGCTTTTGGGTAAGTTTTGTTATAAGTAAATATTCTTATTATGGTAGGCTTTTAAATTATTTTTTCTGCCATATGTCTAAGTTAATTTCTCTCTTTTTGTTTGAAATTAAGGCCAAAATGATAAATACATAGAATGCTTCTTTTTCTGAGTAATGGTTCTCTGTAACTAGAGTGTCATAACAATCACTCAGAGTGCTGGCTTAAAATGAGTTTCTCTAGGCCCACAGCAGGGACTCTGGTTCAGAATTCCGTGGGGGAACCTGGGTGCTGCATTTTAAACAAGCATCCCAGGAGATTCTGACAGGTAGTCCCTAGAGCAGTTCTGGGATTTATAAGGGCTGTTACCATTTTAATTTTTAATTTTTCAAATTAAGAGCCATTTTTGGGAATCTATGAACATATAGGCACGCATATGCACTTAGATATCTGTTTGCAGTTTTGGAAGATAAACATATGTCTATGGCCTTGAAGGACTTGTGGATATCATGTTAAGAAGCCCAGCTCTGAAGGTGTCATTGATCTATTAAGATACCACAGTGTGTGGTTAAGAACGTGACTCTGGGTTCAAATCCCAGCCCTACTATTTATTAGCTTATGACTTTAATAAATTTACTTAACTTCTCTGTGCCTTAGTTTCTTCATATGTATAATGGGGCTGATAACAAAGGCACTTAAGAATACTCAATGTTAATTAATGTACGTAAAACACTTAGAATACTGCTGTGCTTAATTGTAAAGCTTTAATAGGTGTTGGCAAATATATATATGTGTTTGGGTGGGTTTACTTCACACTGATGTTATTGTTTCTCTTCACCCCCTCACCCCCCACTGGAAACAGACAGTCAGAAACACATTCTGAAACCAATGGTTTTAAGATTTATCTGAGAGCTGTGACTATTCAGTTGTATTTGTATGACTGGGATTTCAGTTAATAAGTCGTCCATACACCCCCAACTTAATAGCCTTGTCAGGTTTTCATTTGAAGGTTTTGCTCTATAGATCTGACCTGAATTAATGAAAACCGACAGATACAGTTAACACTTTCATATTTTTGCTGTAGACATGTAGGGAACATTTTCATCTTACAAAGCTAATGTGCCTTTAGATAGCAAAGACAAATAATAACATTAAAAATCATAGAAAATGAAGTTATGATTTCTTTTTCTTTTTTATACAATATCAAACATAAATTAAACCCATATAGAATTCTGTTTTCTCATGAGCAAAACTGAAAAAGCATGTAAAATCAGTCTTACCTCCAGGGATTAGGAGACATACAGCAGCAGAGAAAGAGAAAGGAAAAGGCATCCTGTTCCTCACTTGTGGAGACCGTTTAGTTTCAGGTTTTGACGTTAGTAATATATAGTGAAACACAAAGGATGTGGGCTTTTTCTTTTTTTCTTTCTCTGCTGTGCTGCTAAAGATTTTGGTGTTTTACTACTGGAAAATATAACCTTACTTCAGTGATGGCGTGGTTATTTATTTGTCTCACTGAAGAGGCCATTTCCCTTGGGGTTAGACCTGTCCTACCTTAAAGGGTAAATGTGAAGCCGTGGAGATTGTGATAAATTAAGAACATCAGATAGAAAACTGCTCTTCTTTTGACAACTGTTTCACTTTCAAATGCAAGTTTATCTTAAAAAGCTGAGAAGTCAAGTCCATATCAGAGTTGTTTTGAAATAATCATCCTTAAATCTATTCTAGAGGGAAAAGGGTAGATATTTGATATATTCATTGTTGAGACTGTTGGGCAATCATTGAGGTAAAATTGAAGTTAGATTCTTAACTCACAGCATTCCTCTTAAAAGCACTAAGTGAAGATACAGATGAATGTACACATGTGGAAATGAGAAAGGAACTTTGAGATATGACACCAAAGGCAAGAATCATAAAAGAAAGAAAATGTTAATAGGTTCAATTAAAACTGTAGTACCTTAAAACATCAAAGTCAAATAGCAAACATTTTTACCACAAATTGCTAAGAAAACCTGGACACCAGGAAAGAAAAATGATTGGAGAATTTGAACAAACACTTTATAAAAGAAGAAATAAAGTAGCCGCTGTATGCCTAGTCTGTGGAGGAATGCATAAGCAGTATCAGGTTATCAATATAAAAATACAATTTAAAACATTTAGATAATATTTTTGCCTGTCAAACTGCTGAAAATTAGAAATTGTATTGAATACTCTGTTGTCAGAAATTCTTATGTGTCAAGCTGCTCCTATCTTTTTGGAAAGCAATACACATAGAGGGTCATTAAATTTTGCATGATCTTTTACCCAACAAGTCATGTTTGTGAATTTTTAAAAATTGCGGATATGTGTAAAAACTTAGCCATGTGTAAAATTTTCAAAATTTAGACATTCCATGACATTACTGTTTCTAATGAGAAGAAGTTGAAAAGAAAATAAATGCCCCCAAATAAGGAATTAGGTAAGGGTATTAGTTTCCTGTTGCTACTGTGACAAATTGCCACAAACTTAGAGGCTTGAAAACAGTAAAACTTTCATAGTTTTGTAGGACAGAAGTTTCATGTGTGTCTCACTGGGCTAAAATTAAGGGGACAGCAGGGCTGTGTTCCTTTCCAGAGGCTCTAGGGGAGAATCCATCTCTTGCCTTTTCCGGCTCCTAGTGGCTGCCTGCATTCCTTGGCTTATGGCCGACTTCCAGCTTCAAAGCCAGCCACAGTCAGTGCAGTTTTTCCCATGTAGCATCACCCTGACACTGACTCTTCTTCTGCCTGCTGCTTCAACTTTTAAGGACTCCTGGGATTATGGTGGGCCCACCCAGATTATGCCCCAGTTTTAAGGTAACTGCTGATTAGCAACCTTAATTTTATCTACCACCTCAATTCCTCTTTGCCATGTAAACTAACATGGGCTCCAGGAATTAGGATATGGGCATCTTTGGGTGAGTGGAGAGCACTATTCTCCATGCCATACTAAGTAAATTATAATTCATCCATACAGCCATTCTGTGCAGCCATTAGACAACATGGGAAGTGATTACAAAGTGCTTCTGTATCAGACAACTCTTGCATCACCACAGATCTTGGCCTCATAGAAGTCAATGGACCTCAGCCACTTGCCCTCCTCCACTACTCTGTGGAGACCAATTCTGCGTGGCCTTTGTGGGGCACCACCTGACAGCCCGTTGCCTCATGCCTGCATCGTTCAGCTTTTGCTTCCCACCCTGGGACTCCTTAGCTGCTGGAGAAATCTAGGACATAGCATGATACAGAATTTCAGGAGAGTTTAAGCCTATTTGGGAAATCTATTGATTAATAGGAGATGGAATCTAGGGGATAAATTCTTTTCTCCTTCCCCTGTTTCTCCAGAGGCTATTCTTTGAAGTAGTAATTCTTACGGTTCTTGGAAGATGGTCCGAGCTATCAGTTGCGCTGGTTACCGAGCGTCTCCTGCCCAGCCATGCCCCTTCGTATTGGTGCTTCTCCTCAACACTCCTCTTTCCTCTCTCCACACAACACAGCTCCCACTTCTCAAGTATGCCCGCTAAGAAAGTGGTAGCACATGAGCTCTCCTCTATGGGAGCTCAGGCAAGACAGGTGGGAGCGGCACTAGGAGTTAGGAGTGGCCTTGTAAATTAGACCAACAAAATAGGATTTGGAGGTGAGCGACTCACTGATCTGGAACACTGGGGGCTGTGTTGCGGGTAGTAAATGGGGTGGGCATGACCCTGGCCTGCTGTAGCATTCAGTGGCATCACACTGTTAAGGATTTTATCTATAGTCAGTTGACATGAGGCCTGAAAAGGAGGTATGTGACAGCTACTGCAGTGGACAGTGCAGCAGCGTGGAGGCCGTAATGATTACAGGGATTATGGAGTGAGCAAGCTTCTGTTAATGGCATTAGGAGCCTTGAGAAAAGAAAGCACCCCCAGCAGCTAACTGGGCAAGCCAGGGGGCCTTTATGGTGACTTTTAAGGAGTTTCTCATCATCCACAGCTGTAGTTCAGGTGAATCTGAAAATCAGCCTTCATTAGACTGCCCATTCATCCATTCTTCACATACTTGTAAAATCATGTTGTGAGGTCTAAAAATGCGTAAGTGAATTAAGACATGTTCACTAGGCTCAAGAACCTCACCATTCAGAGGGGAACCTCTCCTAATGTCACTTACACTTCTTTTACAGTCTTTCAGTTCCATCCATCCATCTGTCCACCCAGTATTTAATGAGATGCTCCAGTGTCCCAGGCATGACAAGTGGATGCTGCCCTATCCGCATGGTGAGATAAACAGCTGCTTCCTGGACAATAGAAGCTAGTGTGGGATATTTTTCCTAACATATGGAACTGATGTAGAACACGGTTTCAAGAAATTCATTAATTCAGTACATATTTAATTAAATGCGTCCTACATGCTGGGCACTGTGCCAGATGAAAAATCCTGGCCCTTGTGACCTGGATTATTTAGGGAACTAGAACTAGTACAGTGCTTCAGGAACCTGAGTTTGGGAAGCAGTGGGCTATGAGGGTGGGGAGATGGGAGTATTATGGAGACCTCTGAGGAGCATGTGGGCTATCATAGAGACAAGGGAAGCCAGTGAAGGATGTTAATTAGGAGAGGCCCAGGATTCTCTCCTGGTTAAAGGGAGGCCGCTCTGGCACCAATGTGGAGGCAGGGGCAGCTCGGGAATGTCTGTATGTAAGACACTCAACAATCTGCTAAAGGTAGGGGTGTGGAAATCATCTTGGAGCAATGTTTGCATATAGAGACCCAATTTTTACTTGCAATGAGTGCTTATTGAGAAGGGGTGTGAGTAATGGGAGGACACGGGCAAAGACTCACATTTCAGGTGTGAGGCTGAATGGTTCCTGTGCTAGAGGAGTGAGTGTGCTGGAGACAGGGTGACCAGTTAGGAGATGATTGTCCAGATCTGAATTAACTGAAGCTGCAGACATGGAGTGGCAGAGACAGATAAAAGGAATTAAAGTCAGTTTAGCGATAGCATGTTTTCCACAGAGAGAAGGGGCTGGGGTGTGTGAGCTGCATGGGAGGGCAACTATGCTTCTCCTGCCCCATGGCATGTTGTCCGGGCAGCCAGTCCCCTGCCTCCTAGTGAAGAAGGACATGTGTGGAAACAGGATTTCCCTGAATTGGGATGGAAGGGTGATTGTAACTTCTTTAATTTTCTGAACTTTAGATTTAGAGTGAACTTTGTCGTAGAAGAGACTTTTATGATGTTCCCACCAAGTCTGTCTGGTCGTAGTTTGGTTAGTTAGATGTGGTCTGGGGCCAGAGGCTTCTCTACGGTGGGTTTTCTAGGTAATGAAGCTACCAGACCATCTTCCACCCACCAGCTTTGCATCTCTCGTCACCCCTCTCGATCACTTACCACCTCAGTGTTCCTGCATATACTGTGACCACTGCGACAGTCTCCTTCATTTTGTCTCTTTTTTTTTTAAAAACCACTTTGAGATATAATTTATATACTGTTAAATTCACCCATTTAAAGTGTACAATTCAAGGCTTGATCATTTATAATGACTACTATTTTAAATTGTGGTAAAATATATATAACATAAAATGAGCCATTTTAACCATTTTAAGTGTACAATTCAGTGGCATTAATTACATTCACAATGTTGTGTGACCCTCACTCCTATCTATTTCCAAAACTTTTTAGCTACAGCTGCCTGAGGCTAGTTTCCCAGGAACCCAGGGGGTTAAACTTTATAATCTCTCCTCCCACCTCCTCCCACACCTGGGGACTCAGACTTGGCCCAAGGCAGCACAGCTTCAGTTCACACTCAGCCAGAGCATAGGTAGCACCCTCTTTCTATTTCTTGGAGACTTATTTCAGTCTTTCCTCTGCCTGTTTTATTTTTTGTGAAAATGCACACTTCAGATGATGGTGGAAGATATAACTCTACTTTTCAAAAATCCTTGAATTGGCAAAATTTGATAATTAGCTGGTGATGGGTGACAAATATGGAGGGGTTCATACATTATTTTCTATACCTTTAGGGATTAAAAAATAGTCATGGATGGCTTTCCTGTGCTATGTCAGCTGTACCTTTGATAGTGTGACCAGGTAATATTCTTGCCATTCACAGGGAGAGGTATTGTTGACCTTGGCCAGTTTGCCAAATATCCCCAATCAACACTTCAAAAGGATTTGGCTAATTACAATGAGTTGTAATGTAAAAAAAAAAACCTAGAATTCCATTTTAGTATATTTTAAATGCTTATTCTGTTTTAATGTGGACATTTTTGAGTTATATTACTGATAGTCTGTGAAGTGGCTGATTTTTTTTTTTAGTATGCGTGAATTTGAAAAAATGTATAGGTGTACTTGACTTTTTACAGCACTCATAGAGGGCGCTATAG